GGGCTTCTGCAGCTGCCCCTGCAGCAGCCGTTGCAGGGCTGGGACCCGGCCGGGAGCACGGGCTGCACCCACCCCGCACTGGGACAAGCAGGCAAAAACCATGGTACAGCCCTGGGTGCAGCCCTGAGATTAATGGGGGGAGTTATTTATGGAGACATGTTTGTAATGGGCCCATGAATTTCATGGAAATGCGCTGCTGTGGTGGTGTGTGGTATTGGGTGCTGCCGCTGCGGCTAAAATTAATGCCCCTTAAATCACATCCCAGTGCAGCCTCCCCGGTACGAGGCTGGGACGAGGACAGAGACGAGGACAGAGATGCACGGGCACGACGGGCACAAAGGCCGGGCAGGGCCAGCGGGAGGGTGCCCCCACGCCAGCTGTGCACTGCTCCCCGGCACCGCTGCATCGCCCGCGGTGGGGGGCCAGGGCCGCCGCAGGCAGCCGAGGCCTGGGGAGGGCTGGCCTGTGCACAGCCCCACGCTGCTGCTGCCGCTGCCACCGCACGAAGGGTTAAGCGCTGCCATGTTTTATTCTCCCCACACACCTCTGTTTAAATGCAAAAAAAGAAAAAAATCTCAACAGGGTGTTGTTCACTCTAAAAACCCTAAGCATGATTTGTGAACTCTCACAGCCTTGGTAATCTCATCAGAGTAATGGGATTATATTTCAAATCACCATGGCCTGTTCATTACACATTTAAACTCCTTTGACAGAGGAAAAGTTAAATAAAATGTGTGCGTCAGCCCTGGTTGACTTTCCCAGTTCTCTTTCTTGATTAGACAAACAGATGCTGAGCTCCAAAATGAAAAAATAATGTGCTCATTTATTCATTTTTCTGACAAGTCACAATAGATTTTTAACTACAAATGAGCCCCCTCCCCAGGTGGGAAGCGCGGGGGCAGCACGCGCCGTGCTGTAATGGGCTCCGAGCCGGCAGCTGGGGCTAAACCGGGGCACAAGTGGTCATTTCCGCACCGCGAGTGCAGGGACGGTGCTGCAATTCCCCCGCTGCCGCCACTGAGGCCGCCCGATGAATTTCTCTGAGGAGCTGACGAACGGCACTTGCATTCATGCCG